TTTTAGTGATATGGGTTTGAAACACTTTCAAATTTGGGTTCAAATCAGTTTCAGAATGATCCACTTAAATATCTTTGATTTCAACAAGTTCAAACTCCAATGGCGAAACACTTTCAAATTGGGGTTCAAATCAGTTTCAGAATGATCCACTTCAATATCTTTGATTTCAACAAGTTCAAACTCCAATGGCCAAACGTCTAATGCTAGAGGTTATTCCTCATTAGTTATGATATCGTGGGAATAGCTGCCTAATTATATATATTTTAAGGCATATGATGCTAAATTTCCTTGTTGTTATATATTAAATAAAATTTGTTCATGATAAGTGAAAAGCATTTGAGTCATAATCATTGGTTTTATTCCAAATATTTATTCATTTTGATGATTATATAATTTTAAATTTTACTCAACGCAATAAATTTTAGAAAAAATGCAATTTTTAAAATCTAGACTCATCTTTATTTTATAATTTATTTTGAGTTTACTTTTGTATTTCTGCTTATTTAAGAAATACAGTTAAATATGAGATTAAATACATTGAAAGTAACTACGAATTCTACATAATATCTACTAAGGGGGTATTTCAGACATTTGTCCACATAAAGCACTTTCAAAACTTTATTTTTCAAACAAATCAACTGCTTCTAAAACACTAGTTTATGAACAACAGATTTTTCATAGCAGCTTTTGAATTGAGATTTTATACAGCTACAGCCGGAACAAACGCGCCATAAGTTTCCAAAACTTGCTTAAATACACATTCAAGATGCAACGCGAGAACCCACCACCATAGAACTAGGCATCAAATGTTACCTTCCAGGGAGAACAAAACATCCATAAATAAAAGACAAAATCTAAAATAAAAATCTTCATGAAACTAACAATCACGCATGTAGAAAGCAAGCAAAATTCAAGAGAAAACTAAGAGAAATATTGGGACCAAATCCTTCTTTTGCAAAGAGTACTACCCCATATTAAAAATAAATAAATATAAGATACAGCCCTTAGAGGAGAATTATGAAAAAGTTTGAACATAAAATAACTTAAGTATGTTTATTAATTACATAAATGGTAGAAGTTCATGGGTTATGAGACTCCGCCTACTAGAGAAATTCATATTCATTAATGAGTTTCTCTTCTCTTATGAGCCCTTCACTGTTTTACCTCTTCTCAAATTATTCAAGCACATCGTTCTCTTCGCTAAAACAGGTCACTATAGTTCATCACTTTGAACCAATTTCTCATGACAACTCAATCTTTTTTTTATTATTTTTAAGTGCATAAATCATAGAAATATCAATATTTGGACTTCATTAAAAGATGCTAACATATTTCTTCATTACATGATGCTAACATAAATCATAGAAACCATAGTTCATCGCTCTTCCAAAAAACCAAAAAAGAAAGGTCAAATTATAACAACAACTAAAACCAACTCTACGCATTATGCAAGGTATATTGTGCAAATATATCACTCTATAAAATAGCTTTGGGTAATCCTTGCAAAAATAAAACAATTATCACAACTAAAATGTGATTGTACATGTTATCATATATAAATTATTGCATGTGCTAACTTATAGAAAAAATCTACAATATTTAGCATGATGAAATTTCTTCGTTGCTGAAGAAATTCTCCTACATTATATTTTGCTTTATTGTTTTCTTTTGTTGTCTATGTATAAGCATATAAAGATAATGTCCCTCATAAGTCTCTCTTCTTTCTATCCCTATAACTCTTCAAAATTATGAAGCATCTTGCAACATAATTACGCTCAATTTTTTTCCTCCTCTCAGTTTAATATCCTCTCAAAGCTTCTTCGTCAACCACAGGGGGTTTAGGGAACCTGATCTCCTTATGTATTTGTTAAGCATATTACAATTGTGCAATCTATATTCTCCAATGATGATTGTGATAGTGATTTATATCCTCACTATATCAATACTCTCATCAACACTCTCTATTGATACCAATGTTCCAGATCTTCATGAAGCCTTTCCTGACAAGGATCTCATTAAAAAATCTTCACCTAATTCATGTTAATCTCCCTTTGGCAAATCAATCACATTCCTATTGTAACATGCGCAATCCTTGGAAATAAAACTTCGATTGCTTCATCTTTATTTGCTAGTATTTTTATATTCAATATGACATCTTCTATGCCACCTTATTAAGAGGTGTTCAAAGATATAAATTATCATGTGTGAAAAGTTATAATAAAAAATTGTCTTATTTATTATTGTATTATTTCCTCATTATTAATAATATTCTTTAGTTTTGCATTATCTTGCCTATATATAGGCACATGTATACTTGAAATAGGAAAATAATCATATCTAGTCCTTTAAAATTATCTCTTCCTTCTAAAAATAACCATGATAATTTAATAAAGGTTTTTGCAACCACAAAAAGTTACGACTAATAATAAAGTCTTTAAAATCAAAGAAGATACAAGCGAATAGTACCAAATAACAGATGAAATTCCCAATAAAATTTTCACTATGCAATTCAAAAAATTAACGCTTACGATCATACAAACTAATCAAGAAACCAAGAAAACAAAAAAGGGAATAAATGAACAATTAATTAAAAAATAAGCTTACTAATGAAATTAATATCAGAAAGGAAGAATTTTGAGTAATGGCAGTTGATGCCCTAAATTGTCAACATAGCTGTTAGTCAACTATTTACTATAGTCTTTTCTATTCATGGATTTTCGAATTAATCTTGGAGGATTATAACAATGAAAAAAAAATTCATGTTCACCAACAACTCTAAGAATTGGGAAACGGGAAGGAAGAAGAAAACAAGGAATGAGGATTTTAGTAATGAACCCATGATTACTTAGACAAATTTATTACCTGTTCAACACTATAATACAAGTTATGATTACTAAAATGCATTCACTCCCCCATACCTTTAAATAGGAGTATTTATAATCTTACAAGGGAAACAACATATTTATTACACCTTCAACATTAAAATACTAGTTATGAACCCATGATTACTAAGACACAATTACTCAATCTAAGGTCCCACTATACTTTTTAATCCTAACATTACCGACCCCTTCAAATTTTGAACTAGCCCTCAAGGTTGAAGCACAAAAATTAAACAAGACTCATTTCACGCATTTACTAACTATTCATTCCTTGATTATTTTCTTACTTTCATTGGTTGGTAATCTTAAACTTTTCATCAAACACTTGTCAAGACAGCTGCTAGGAAGACAGCTGAAGTGAGGAAAATGATAGTTACTAGGCTGATGATGTGCTGCAGAATGTAGATTTTGACAGCATGGAGGAATATTGGTGCATGTAGAGATCAGGGCAGAGTGAGTGGGAAATGCGGGAATAGAATTGGAGCCGGTAAATGCTTGGATGTCACAATAACATAGACAAAGAAAATTGGATCTAACATAATTTTGGTTGGCATGATTTAGAAAGGATGAGGCACTAGAACTGGTGAAACATTCAGTGACTGAGACTTGGCAAGACTAAAACAATCCCGATGAAGAACTATAGAAATTGCTAGATAAGTAAAATCATGACGGAAACAGCGACCATGGACTCACCAGAGGTGATGCCATTTTGAAATTTTCCACAGATAGACTAGGAAAGAGGCGGAGTTGGAGTGGGAGCACAGATCTACTGAATGCAGGAGAAAAACAGCAGAAATGGGCATGGATCTGGACTTGGTGACAATGGCAGGAGGCTTGACAGAACTGCTGTGAAGCTGGGGTTTTTGGAACTGCAAATCTAGTAAGATTGGTGGGCTTGAACTGTTGGAGTGAATCGGAGAGGTCGAATCAGTAAAGGTGAAGTCAAGACCAAAGGCAGTTCTGGCAGAACAAAAGACCGGTTAAAGAATTTGTATGGATGGATTGGGAACATAAATCCAAATGGTGAAAAGAAAATCTAGGAATTTGGGTTACTTCTAGCATGAAATCAAAATGTAAGATACAAAAGATGGATCCAATAGGGTCAATGAGAATCTGACATAACAAGACTTTTTTTTTTTTTTTTGGTTAATTCTAGACATATAGACTTTGATAAGATAAGTGGAGCTATCAGATGATGCATGGACAGTGAAAGCTGAGACAAAATTTGGGGATTAATGGAGATGAATAGGCAACAGTTAGCATGATTTAAACAAAACCCTCAAACTTTTGCCATAGTAGAAGGCTCAAGGAAACCAGAAAATAGCAATGATAAAAAAAAAATTCAAGCTCATTTGTAATGATGACAAAGACGAAGAACTTTGAGTAGGAGAATTTTTATTTAAATCATTTCCTTCTCAATACTGTCAAAAAGAAGCATTTATAATCACACAAGGGCTCAAAAGGCACATTTACCATGTAATACACTATAATACTAGTTATAAACATATGACTACCAAGACCCATTAACTCAATCGTAGGCCACACTGCACTTACTGATCCTAACAATTGCTACAGTTTAAAAAGTCAAAATTATGCATACTACATAAATGAAAAAGGTTTTGGTCAACATTCTTTGCGATATAGTCAAAACAATAAAGTAATTTGAAGATCCAAGAGCAAGGAGGAAAATCTAGATAGCATCAGTTCAGCTTGAAGAAGCAATAAGACTCATTGAAATATAGTTAAGCAGTTTAATCATGCAATTAAATTAAACAGCATGGAGGAAAATCTAGATAACATCAGTTGGGCTTGAAGTAACAAAAATACTAATGTCCTTTCAACTTATCATATCAATTTCCTTTTCAAAAAATAGATGGAATCTGGAGAATAAAAAAACATAGCAAACCCATAAGTCACTATTCTCGTATCTATAATCAATAGAAAGCATGTAAACTTTTAAAAACAATAAGGTTTTATGGTTAGATATTTTGTGCTGCCTAGCAAAGATTTCCCTATGTACTAGCTATAGTAAACAAAGATTCAAAAAAAACATAAATTTTCAAATGAAGGAAATGCATATAAAAATATTAAATATGTACCAATTAAGCCCATTCTTACATTGCTTCCTTCGCCAGTTAGATACAATTTCAACCTCCTAGCTGAATTCTCACCATTCTTGAATAAGAATGGAAACCCATTCAGCACAATAGCCTCTACATTTTTCTTGGCAAGAAGCCTGTCAAAGGAAAAAAAGACAAAAATTATAAAAACATATTAATCCATGGTGCAATTTTCAAGTAATTTTCAAGCTGTAACAACCAATCAAAACTGTGATCTTCAACCTGAAAGAACATTAAAAACAGTAGAAAAAAACGTAAAAGTTAAACGGAAGAATTCCGCCGCTCAGAATGGACCGTTGTTTACTCGAGAAATTAGGAGATATCCATCACCTTAAAATGTCTGGCCGGTCCCTTGCAAAGCCTAGACATGCCTTAGCAGCCTTCAAAAACTCCTCCGGTAAATCCTCATCCGCTAAAAACGTGTCATCGTCATCACCAGACGTTATGCACCGATCTAAGTAACCTTTCTCTGCCAATAGACCCGCAAGCTTCGACCACTCCGGCCATGGATGCGAATTCTGGGAATCAGAGAACGAGGTCGCTCCCTCGCCGCACCGTTCGTTGATAGCTGCTTCCGAGTGGAAATGATTTGCTGCTCCGTACCAAAACCTGAAATTGGGGCGATTGAAGACGGAGTAATGACGGCCATGAAAGACCGACGCGGAGGAAAAGGCGGCGAACGGATGGTGAGTATAACGAGCAAGGCAACCGACGGTGAAAAGGCGGAGGGGCGAGGAGGAAGAGAG